AAATAAACATTTGTTTTGTTTCTTAACATATGAAATAAAGTTTCCACAAACTGGAGAAAGATCTGGCTGTAAGCAGAAAATTTCATATGTTCACACCCAATTGAAGAATGGTTTCTTTATTTCCCCTCTTCATAATGTCAGTCATGCCGGATAGTCATGATTTTGGACAGAGTAAATAAATGTCAGTTACAGCAAGAGTAAAAACAAGTAAAAAGTCATACTGGGGGGCAGGAAAGAGTCTGCATTATTGCAATAGGAAGAGTCTGTTATAGAGGGAATTATTTCAGTCATTTCTGTATGTGTTTCTCCAGGGGCTGGCTCTTGTCTACAGTGGCAAGGTGTCTGTAATAGTGAGGTGACCACAGGGCAGAGTCAACTGTAGATTAATCCAAATTTGGCATTGTCATTTCCTTTCTGTCTTGCTGTATTTATCTTTGGCTCCAAATATAAAGAAAATAAAACAAGCTAAAATAAAAATTGGTAAGATTTTAGTTGAAGGAGCAATAAAAGAAAACGTTACTTGTATTTGTGTGTGGGGTTTTTATAAAAATGATTTGAGGTGTGTTGTATGGTTTTGAATGTCAGTATTTAGTGGTTGCCTCATTATTTGTGTTCTTTTAAATCTGATTTTAGGTGCCTCATCTTCTGAATTCCACTCCATAAGTTCAATCAGTAAAAGTCCACAGAATCAAGAAGAGCTGAAAAAATGGAAACAGAAGACAAAGATTGTTGAGACAGAGAAACTGAAAGGTGAAAACAAAATTAAAAGACGTATTAAGTTATTATGGAAAGTTGTAGTGAACAGTAATAACTATTTATTATTTGACAAAGCTTTGAAGGATTATCTCAATGCAGTAATGTGGCATATAGTATTATTTTAAGAGTACAACTTATGGTGAACAACTTACAGTGCATCTGAAGAGAGGCTGTGAATGCTAATCTCTCCCTGTACTTTTTGTTCTTAGGTACTTCACCCCTCACTGTAATACCCACCACTGGTCATGGAAAAGAACTTATAGGAAAAGCACAGGGAAGGAAAGGTGAACAGGAAGCTCAGTTTGAATTAATTTCTAAAGTGGATATGTTCAGTGTGTTCAGTTATTATGTCAAGTGTAAAGAAGTGTGCTTTTGGG